GGAAGGAAGATGGGGCAATCCACTTCCGTAGTGCTACCGCCTCGGAAACCCAAGGAGGGGTCGCCATGAGTCAGATCTGACTCGACGGCACATAACAACAACAACAACGTTAACCGAAAAGTTGGAAGTTCGAACTACCCAGAAGTGCCACAGAAGAAAGGCCTGGCTATCTGCTTCTGTAAAGGTTGCCCATTGTGAGTACATGTGGGAGAAAGACTGTGTAAAGGAGAGAGCGAAAAAAGTGTATGTGTATATGAGAGAAAAAAAGGGTGTGAGAAGGGGGAGAGAATGTGTGTGAGATTGTGTATGTGTGAGAAAGAGTGTGAGAGTATGTGAGAGGTATGAGAAACGTGTGTGTGAGAAAGTGGGAATTTGTGTGTGTGTGTGTGTGTGTGTGTGAGGGAGGGAGGGAGGGAGATGGCTGTTTTATAGGGTGGCCTGAGAGGGCCTCTCTGAGGAGATGGTACTTGAACGGACGACGTGAAGGAGGTGAGGGAGGGAGACCCACGAACCACACACGCAGAGGGAACAGCTGGGCTGCAGGGAGACAGGGGGTGCCTGGCTCCAGGGGGCGGGGCATACTCGGAGGTGAGGTCAGAAGTTCAGAGGTTTGGGGGTGGGGGCCTCGTGGTGCAGGCCCTTGTGGGGGTAGGGTTCTGAGCCCAGGCGACTCCTAGCTACAGACCGGACTTGAGTGGGTGAGATGGAGGGGAGGGGGTCGGGCAGCCAGGGGCCGGGGGGAGGAAGTGTGTTAATTTCCTAGGGCTTCCCAGCGAACTGGCTAATTCCAAACAACAGAAATATATCGGTTCTGTTCCGGAGGCTGGAAGTCCCAAGTCAAGGTGTCTGCGGGCCGTGCTCCCTCTGAGGCTCCAGGGGAACGTCCTCCAGGCCTCTTGCAGCTCCTGGTGGTCCCTGACGTTGCTTGGCTCGCGGGTGCGTCGCTCGCGGGTGCGTCGCTCGCGGGTGCGTCGCTCGCGGGTGCGTCGCTCGCGTCTCTGCTTCCGTCTGCACGTGGCTGTCTTCCTCCTGTGTCTGTCTATCTGGGCCTCTTTTTTTTAATAAAGAAATAGGTCCGACT